TAATGTAAAGCAAGTCTATTATTAGAAGTAACAGGAGTGTGTTTTGGAATACATCAGCACTTAAAGTGCTGAACATATTTGGCATCCACAGTGTTGTGGAGCTCTGTTATTTGTAGCATGCTTCTCTTTCTTCCCTGTGTGAAGCTTTTGTTAAGATCCAAGACTGTGTTCCATAATAACTACAAACCTGTAGAAACATATATAAAGTAGAGTTAAACTCCACATGTTTAACGTATTCTAGGAATCAGAAGGATTGATGGAAAATTGTTAACAGATGTGCCAGTATTTCAGTATTTTCTTTAATTTTTGTGTGGTTCCTGAAGTGTAAAGTTTCACAGGAGCCAAGTTCATATTGCATAAGACATTGCCCAGAAGGGTGATTTCCCACTGAGCTCTCTTCAATATCGACTGGTCCATACCCTGGACTGAGAGTCTCATCTTCCAGTTTTCAAAACCACAAAACCCCCTTACCTTGTGCAAAAGAGAGTTCATTGTCATGCCTCCCATCCCTTTGTCTGTCATTTACAAAACACAGGTGTTGTGAATGTAAATGACTGAGTGGCATGATACCTGGGACAAGATGATTTAAGTACAGGAAAGGAATAATCTGTTAGTATAAAGAACAGCTGAAGTTGAAATAATGATATAATGTAGTTATGCAACTACGTTTCTTGCAGCTTGCTTTCTCCCCTGACTCTGAAGTGTGTGTAGATGTGCTTTATGTTTTTCTCTTAATCACAGTCATTCCAAAATTTTATTCTTGTGATGCCTCCACAATGCAAAGCTGGAAAGGGCTGGGGAGTCCAGTGAAGATCCAGTGTCTGCTCTCATTAATGGTTAGCTCACTCCCTGTTTGGGTTTTGTTTGTTTATTTCTCCAAAGTCTCTCCAAGGCAATAGCTAGGCTTTTGGTTTGGAAATAGTCAGTTCTGGAGGTAGTGCACATAATTTTTTGGTTTCACCATCCTTCAGCACTCTTCCAACATGGGCATTTGGGTTTTTGAACATGCACAGCAGACAGGGCTCACTTTCATACTCTGAAAATGCCATATTGCTGGGTTACAGTGTAGTCTCCAGATTATTTCAGATACTTTGAACCTAAATATATTGAATGCTAATGATGTGTTGGGTGTGTGGGGCCAGATGATGAGGCCAAACACCTCTCCAGCAGATGCTGTGCTGTGCTGATGTGACCAGTTTGCAATAATGGGAAGTATTTCTAAGCTGTGTGGATGTGAGCCAGAAGGTACCATTTGTCTTGTATTTAGCAGAGCAGACCTTGAACACTGTGAGTGCTTTAGCCCCTTGGTTTTGGCTCTGCTCTGTCACTGCAGAACAGTTGTCTTTCCACTGTGTAGCCAAACCTTTGCTTTTGCTCATTTTTCTTTCTTCTGTTTTCCTGTTACTTTTCTTAATTGTTTATCCCTTCCCCCACCTCATCCCCCTCCCCCTCCTTAATCTTGTTTCCTTTCCCCTTTAACACAGGTGACCAGCAGAAACTTCATCCTGTGCTGGATCCCCTGGATGGAAATTAAGATGCAGGAATACAAAGTAAAAGCACATTTCATGTGTGCTGCCCAAGTCACCATGTATGTGTGCATGTGTCTGCTGTCTGTATTCTCATTTCTAGCTCTTCTAGAAGCCATTAACACTGAGAGAGAAAGCAGATGACTTTCAAGGAGATATCAGCTATTAAATAAAACCAGAAGAAGCATTTTTAATTTTGGGAGTAAGATGAAATCAATGCCATTTTTCCTATTCCCTTACTACTGTCATTCCTTCCCAACTGTTACAACTTCTTTAAAAATAATTGAGAGAAGATTTCTGATTATTCCAAGCCCTTCTTCTCTGTATAAGGACAATCAATCCCCTTTCCAGGGCAGAAACTGTTTGCAGGGGAGTGCTTCGTACTTGTATAAGCCTTGCACTTAAAAACCTCCAACAGGCTTATCCTCTCCACTTTTGTCTTTTAGTATAAGTGCCCTGAAAATGACAGAATTGCACAATAGCAAATGGCAGTGCTTTTTTTCTGTCGGGTTCAATGGACTCTTGCATTCATGTTCATTGGTCATAATGTGAGCATATTACTCAGTACTTTGCTTTTCTGAGCAGCCATGAACATTAAACTCCTGAGGATTTCATGGCCTTGAGGTTAGTAGCTTCTTGGGAGCAGAACAAAGCAGAGTATTAAATGGTATAGCAGACTTTATTTGTCAAGTTTTATTTTTTGCCGTGACTGAAAACTATTTTTCCATGGGTGTTTCCTTTGGTCTGGCTAAAACAAATTATTGCGGAGGGAAGTGCAAATTTCCATTCTTCTGCACATCTGCTGAATGTTCCTTCCCTGCCCAGAGGACCAACAGTTCAGCCACAGACACAGGAATTAACAGGATGAAGTGTGGTGTGTCTTGAAATGTCTTTAGGTGACAAAAGCTGTCAGTAATTCTCCTTTTTTAAACTTTTTCCAGTAAGGTCTGTTTTGATTTTTGGTGCTTGTCTTTGGAAACTGTGAGGCAAACAAAAAGCTGACTGTGTCTCTTTTTTGTGTCTGTTATGTAGAGATATGTTGGAAAGCTACCTGATCTCTTACATTTCCCAGTAAAGAAAATACAAAAATTATATAATACCTATATAGTCTCTTTTATTTTCTCTATAAGAAAACAATTTCAAAGAAATGAGACTGATTTTCCCTTTTTTTTTCTTCTAAGAGCATGCAGTAGTTCTGAACAGCCAGTGAATATTTTGGATAGAAAGCCTCATTTTACTGTTGTCGTTTAACTAGCATGTTCTGATTTTATTAATGACTTTGACTTGGGGGTGAGGGGCGAAAGAGAATGCCAAAGTAGAAGAAAGGGTAAAACTCCCCTATTTTGACCTTTGCACATTCTTATCCAGGTATGGCTGAATTAATTGAATCTGCTGGTCAGCAAATTGTCCCATATTTCACATAGTCTTTGAATACCAGCTGGGGTAAGGAAATGGGCAGTAGCCACAGTGAAACTTTGAGCAGACTCCTGATTACCTGGAACCTCAAAAGTGCTTATGGATCCTTTGAATTTTCTTCATTCTCAGAGGATTTCCATAGTTCTCATGTGAATTAAGTGGTAGCTGACCGGTCTGTTGGGATAAGTATTTTATAGCTTGGTATTATTGTTAATTTTGGCATAAATGTAAGCAAAGTCCAGGTTTTGGTAATTTACATGCAAGCTGGACTATCAAAACTTCAAACAGTTGTAATAATCAGTGTTTGAAAGATAAATACAGCATCTGGGCCTGCAAATACATACAGAATAATGAAAAATAACGTTTTACCTGTGAATTAATTTTTTTCTGAAGTAATGTATTTAAGAATTCTAATATATATTCTGGTGGAAAATCTGTTGATGACAAAATTGCATTGTGTATTAAGTAATATGGGTAGCAGCAACAGAGAAAAATTATACATCAGAGTGAACATACATACAGTGAACATACATACATACATACATAGAGCATTTTTAGAAAAAATTAAAATTAGTGATGTACAGTACATTAAACTGAAAATTTTATTCCCTTTGGAAATTTAGGCAGTCTGGTCTGACCTGTTACTGCTGGATGATTTTTTTGATATTTGTCAGTATGTATTTACAGGGAATAGCTGTGTTAGAATAATTTTATTAGATGGTAGGTTTATGATCTGTGATTTAAACTTGAACACACAAAATTACTATGTGAATGCTTTGTTTTGTCCAGAAGGTAATTAAGACATATGCTTTGTATTCAGATAGAAAAAAGTAATGTATGGAAGAGTTCCTAAGCATTTCATATGTAGGTACATGAGTTTAAGACAAGTGCCCAAGTTGCTTTGATAATTAATGACTTGGAACAGGTACTTCCAGAATGCAGTCTCCTCCAAAGACTGGTTGGCTTACAGAGGTTCATAAATTAACTATACATATGGAGAGACAATTAACTGTTAGCTGAAGTTATGTGAAAGGAGACTCTTTGTCATCAGCTCTTCTGCAAATGAACAGCTTTGTCAAACTGTGGTCTAACACATCCCATCTCACTCCCATTTTCTGCACATGATGTTTGGACAGTGCTATATATAGATACATCTGAATCTTTGTGAGTCATATGCATCATCCTAGCAATGTTAAGCCATATATGCGCTTTCAAAGTCCAAGAATTTCTGAAATAATTACATGTACCACCCCAATGACGGATAACTTCTTCCAATGTCTACCTGCCAGGGCTCAAGTACATGGTTTCAAGTGATATTATCAATTAAGATTGTTCTTCCTAAGATTATTCTGTGTTCTGCAGTCTCAAGGCAGGATAAAACTTGATACTGTCCTCTGAGGAAAAATGAGACAACAGCAATTCAGGGTGGCCTTGGATTTCTGAAACGTTTTGTTTAAAAAAGATATAGATATGTACTTACTAGAATTTATAAAACACATGTGTTTTCAAGTCTGTCCAATAGAGAAATGTTATTGTGGTAATGAACTGCACTATTTTAGAGCTCATTTTTATAGTAATATTGCCTTACATGAATTAGCATAGTGCAAATGCAACTGTGTTACTATGACAAAAGCTGTGTATCTCTGCAAGATAATATTCCACCTACAAACACATTCCATGTTCACTATCTATCCTAAATACTAGCAATGAACTGGTGCTCAGACTGTGCATTACTGGTAGTGGAAATAAAGGTGTTAAATCCAAAATACTGTAGAAATGCAGAATTTTATAGGGTTGTAAAATTAATAAGAATTTTAAAGTAAAATGTCACTGCAGAGCTGTTTACCATTTCACAAGCCTAAACCTTTGTGTTAATACATAGAGTTGCTAACATGGTAATTGTAAACCAGGCCAGCGCTTTTAAATGAAATAAAACCTGTACAAATCAGAGTAAAATAAATTTACACCAGTCTCACTGAGTGCTCTTAGATGCTGAAGGACATGTAAAAATAGCCATTGTTCAGTGCTTTGTTTAACATGCTTGCTTTTTCCTCACAGTACAGTGCTGTGGATACAAATCCTTTATCTGTGTATATTATGCAGCCCATCTGGAATAAAATTATTAAGGTAAGAATTTCATTTAATAAAAACATAACATGTTAATGTAAGAATTTGTTTTAAGTATAGGGTGTACTTTCATTTAAAAATACATATTAATCAATAAAGCTGAAATTAAGACATCTGATAAAAGAAAAATGTTGCAGGATATTTAGCCATGTTTAAGGGGTGAGTGTGTTGTTTTGAGATTTTTCTTTAGAAAGAAAGGGCTGGTTTCTTTTTTTCTGATTGCTGTAGAAAAGGCATCCATTTCTTTTCTATATCTTTCGTTATTGCATCTTTCATTAAACAGCTTTGAAGACACGGATGGTTTTACTTAGTACAGATTATTTTTGTGCAGCATATGCTGCCTAACAACAGCATGGCTCTCTCTCTGTGCTGTGCATATGATTTTATGCAAGCACTGTCTCATTTTCTCCCAAGGGGACTTGCTTGAGACAGCCGGGCGTTCCTCGCAGAAGCTGAAAATTAGAGTGGTTACCATGATCACCATAACGATTGGAAGATGCCATCTCTTGAATGCATTGCAATCTGCAGTTTTTAAAAATAAACCACTCACAGCCAGTTATGCTGTTGTTGGCAAAAAAAAAAAAAAAAGCAAGCTGTATCTCAAATAAATATGAACTTTATTGATCTCCAAGGAAGTACTGACTTCTGCATCTGCCTCATTACAGGAAATGTTTAGATTGGAGCAGACTTGAAAAGAAACCTTTGTACAAACAAAAAAAGGATGTATGTGGTCAGAGCGTTGTTGGATCTGCCATCTTTGGATTCTGTAATTCAGGTGTTGATTATTCTTGATATATCAGGAAAATCATAATCCCTAATTCATAACCTCAAAGTAATTTAATGGAAAATGTTCATATGACCCAACTGAAGAATTAAAATACAACTTGACCATGCGATGAGAAAAAAGAAATTAAAAGATTTGACACTGACTTCAGTAATTCAATTCAGAGACTTTGTTTTTATTCCCATAATAATATTGAGGAAAACAATGAGGCAGAAAAGCCCCTCCAGCACTCTGGCGTGGGAGATGAGTAGAGGCTTTACTGTGCACTTGCCCTTTGGTTTAGGAGATGGGTGGGTATTCATCTGCCATCAGACTGAAGGGGGAGTGTTGTCAATGCAAAACTTCCTTTGTAGGTAATTTATCCTAATAGTTGCAGCATTTTACCAGAAGAAGAACAACGTTATTGAATGTTCCCATATAGCTTAGCCACACTATAATTGTTTGTAAAATATCAGTAGGAATGCAAGTTACTATAATGGTTTTGTTCCTGAACAATGCATTGCAATAGGGAAATTGGGATAATTTTCAAAGAATTTTTGGAGAATGTTTTGCATCTATGTTCATTCAGAATTGGGCAGTGCAAGTGTGCATCTTGATGACTGGGAGAAGTTCCTTCACTCAGTTTAGACATCCTGATGCATCCCTTCTCAGATATGAATTAATTATTTTTTAGTTTCTAAACTGGTGACAATAAAAATTCCACGTGGACTATTTTTACTAGATTCTAGAAGAGTTTAAAAAAAAAGCAACCTTAAATTCACTGAGCCAAGTAAAAAGAAAAAACAACTCATGAGAACAATGGCTTGAGTTTCTGGTCTTGCCTTTCATATGCCTGTTTAATCCTAATGGCAACACAAGTTTCTCTGTATTCCACAACCAGAATTAATTGGAAGATGTGTTTTCCTATGTTATAAGTCATTACCATTCATTGTAAAATGTACTTCCTGTGTTATGAGAAATTAAGAAGAACTTGACATTAAAAATGTGTGCATTTGTGAGCTGAAAACATATTGTTATAGCCCAGCTCATTTATCTCTGGTGGGAATGCAGGACAATGAGGGGAAAAGGAGGAAATCCCACTGGAATACACAGGTGTATGCCGGTATCACTGAAATAAATTTAACTCCCCTCTGTTGCCTTTATGAACTTTGATTTTATCAGCAGAATTGAGCAAGAGTAGCATTTTAGTGGTCTCAAGTGACCTAGTGAAATTTGAACAGAGCTTTATAGAAATGTGTTTTTTACCATTTATTATCCAAATAATTGCTATATTAAAGCATTTGCTGTTTGTATTAAGGCTTTTAGAATGAATGGCTAGACCCAGAGAAACAGAAATCAGTTAATACTTCATGGAACTAAGAGTTTTTTAAAAGGTTCAAGCACACAAGGGTTTTGCCAGAGAGCAGATGTGATTTGCCCCATGGCACCTCCAGTTGTATTAATCATGTAGCACATTGATGTATTAGACCTCTACTGTCTGTTAATTAGACAGTAAAGATTGCAGCTCATCCTTCTATAGCATACTAATAAATTCAGGCTCTATTTTTCCAAGGTGTGTAAGAAGTTAATCTTGAACACCCTGTGATTTTCTAATTATGAAATAGGGTGATGGTAGTGTAATGCCAACTAAAAAGATAAGGAGCATTAAATATAACAAAAGGGATTTTGCAACTGGAATACTTTTGAAATACCTAGACAGCTTAGGTTCAGTAAGGATCAAAAGAACATGCTTAAGGGTTTAACTGCAGGAGAGTCTGTTTTCCTGAGGACAGAACTCCTGCAACTCTTTTTCATGGTGTGTCTGTTAGCCAAAGGGATTGCAACTGTAACAAGTTGAAAAACCTTTGAAAGTTTCCTTCTTAAATTACACAGTTAGCAAGAAAGTCGGTTAAAATAATTTCTTCATGTTCACACATGGAAGCATGAATTATTTCCTGTAATAACTTAAACATGACATTGTGACTATTTAGAATGATGAGCCTAATTAGAAAGCAGACATTTGTGGTGCCCCACTTGATTTGATTGTCAACAATCCTTATGAATCATCCAGGAAAAAGCAGTCAGTTTATCCATGTATATCCATGTAAACATTTCATCCATAGTGTCTTAGAGCATTCTTTTGATCTGTGATTTAGATTAAAAGAGACAAATCTAGATTTTTTTTTTCAGTGTCTGTGCTTCTTATTTCATGGAAGGTCAGAGATAGCAGATAAATCCCAGCAGGAGATCCATCTTCTGCATCCTGAGGTAGCAAAGGTGGGAGATGTGCAGCTGTTGCTGCACGCTGAGCATGCAGTCAGTGTAAGAAAGGGAGACCATGCGGCGAAGGGTTCCTCCTTAGATGATCTCCAAAAGGAATTTCAGGGGACATTTGCTGTCCCTTTTCTTAGAGGTTTAGATTTGCCCTTTTGAACACTCAGAATGATAGATATGTTACATTTTAAAAATTGTTGCTATATGCATTCCATGGTGTATTTTAAATACCATGAAAGCTGACATGCAGTGTTTTAAAATCAGTGATAAAGTCCTGCTGATAAGGAAACAAATATCAGATATAATAGTTTTCCCAATGTCATTACAGAAAACATCTAAGAAACATAATGGAAAAGTGTTCAGGAACTCTAACCTGGTTTTTGGAAGTATACACTTAGTCTGTACACTATTGGTTTTCACAATTTCTCCTGAATATTACAAATTGTTCTATAGTTGAAAAAGATAACCCAGTCAGGATATTAAAGCATTCAGATTTTTAAAAGTAAATTTAAGTAAATGTAGTAGTTGGATAGAATAAATTAATATGTATTCATCTGTCTGTTCAGCTAGCTAGTCCAGAGATATTAACAAAACATTTGATTTCAAAACTATGACTGGTATAGTTAGAGTATGCAATATACTATAGTATATTGTAAATATACTATAATATATTGTAATATACTATTCCTGTTAGTATCAGGAATTATTTGATTTGATTTTCTTTAATATTGTCTTGTACTGTTTTATAGTGTTGAAGTAATTTATATACATTTTGAGTCCTTAGACACTCCAAATAATTTAATTATAAGCCTCTAGTATTTATGTGTTTTATATATATTGATAATGTGTTTGAGTGATGGTAATGGTTGATACTTAGTATTTCTGCAAATATGTTCTGTCTAAAAATCATGTAGAAAGCTGTGTAGGCTATTTCAAAAAATATTCTGGAGAAGCTGTGTTGCTTGGGAAGAGTATTTTCAAAAAGGATTCCTTTTGCAGTATAAGGAGCCCCTTAAAGCCAGGGAATGAATGCCTGAGAATGATTACTGGGACAAAGAGGTCTAGGTGAAGGCAGAGTCCTTTTCAGCACCCTCCAAAGTAAAATGAGTTAATGGAGTGTTAATAATTGATGAATAAAGAGGGAGACCCTGTCAGAAAGTTACTATCTAGAGAGCAGGGAGATGCTTGTAATGGGGAGATTTCTGAATCTAAAAGTGTAATGCACTCAGGGTCTGAATTAGTTGATGTTTGGAGTAAGAAATTATTCATATACTTTGGAAGAAGGGCTTTCCTTGTTATAGTGTGGGAATACAATGCTTAAAAAACCTGCCACGTGGATGCTGAATTACCACACTGGGGTGCTGCAGCCTTCTTTCAGTTCTGATACAGCTGATCACAGAAGGCTTTCCTTGGGAGCTGGGTGAATGAGGACAATGTACAACATTTTAAAGGGAGTACAACGTTTCACAAATATCATTCTTACTGCAGTCACAGAAATCAGGCAAAAGGATTGCATTTGAAAATAAATTTCAGAAATTAAAACTGTATTTGGATTTGAAAATGGGGAAATATACACAAATCTGAATATTGCTGATGTAATATAAAAGCTTCTTTCCTGGTAAAAAATATTTTATTAAAATAAGATGTACAATTTGAAATATAATTTTTCTGATTTTTTTCCTTTCATTTTTTAACAGATAGTGCCTTTGTGGATTGCTCCCAACCTGTTAACATTCTCTGGATTTGTCATGATTTTGTTTAATTATTTTCTAATATCTTTTTATGACTGGGACTACACTGCCTCAGGTAAATATGTTCACGTTGTAATTTTTCAGAGTTATTGAACTGCTTATAATTCTGAATGTTACAGGGAGGTATCAGACACTTAAATCTTCCACTTATTCCCTTAATAAGGCTTCTATAGGTGCAGGTAGGAGAATCTACCTCACACATAGCATTATAAATTTAGATAATTTTATTGAAAAATCTAATTTAACTTTATCTCTAAAATGGGTTTCAGCATATGCTGCTTGAAGTCTCTGGTAAGATCTCATTATATTTAAAATTTATTCCAGGGTTTAAATATGCAGCCAAAATCCACTTGAATATTCTTCATAACATTTTCATTGATTTCACATTTCCTAATACCTACACTAATGCCTGCAAGAGTTAACTTCCCTTTCATTTCTCCACTATTCACACCCCCTATTCAAGACTGCTTCTAGACAAAAACGTAGTTTCTAAATAAATGTCTCTTCAAATTATGACTTTCAAAGTCCAAGTCCATGTTTGCTCCTCATTGAAGACCAAGTCAGAATTTTTTGGATCTAATTGCTCCTGAGTAATATGTAAAATACATATAGATAAAAGGTTTTGATTTTCGTTAAACTAGACAATTCAGTGAAGATAACTTTTATTTCCTGAAACAACTACATTTAGCTGCCTTTATTTTGTTATGCCTGTGGTTAGCTTCAGGAGGCAGGCTTTGGTGAGGGTTGTTGTACATTTAGCATGGCAATTCTAGAGGCAGGGATACTTGTTAGCAGTTTTGGTTCAAAAGTTACATTTTCAGGACCAGCTTGTTATGTAGTTGTCTGACCTCGTTCTTGCACACCTGGTGGTTTGGTTTTTTTTTCAATGCAGATGATATTTACTCAGCCCTGTAATAAAAGAACATCCAGAACAGATCTTTTTAATGGGATGATGTTATCTTGGCACATTCTCAGTAGATATACATGGAACTTGAAGACATTTGAAAGGGTGATGAAGTCTGTTAGAGTTGAGACCTGTATGTGTAGCTTGCAAGCTCTTCCTGAGTCCACATGAGAACAGTCCCCATCATTTCTCAGTTGATGGAAAACTTCCATGCAACCTAAAGGGCCTTTGGAGTATCATATATCAATCCTATACCTAGGATCAGAAATAAAAAATTTAATTTCCTGCACAGTTGGTTTTCGTGGTACAGTTTGTAGATTTGCAGCTAGGAGTCAGGAATTGTCATCTTTGCTTTCAGAATGGCAAGATGAGGCACTGAGAGAAAGGAAGTCAGGGCACTGCTTTAGGTGCTGGCATCTTTCAGGCAAGGACACACCTCTGTATGCAGGAATTCCCTGTGTTTGGTGCCAAATGGCAGAAACCTGAGAGCACTTTGCATTTACAGTTGTTTAGTGTTGATGTAGTTTTGGGTGATGTTTAAGTTAAATAGAAGTCTCTTTGGAAGAAGGATCGATTTCTTTAAAGGAGCAACAATAACCTTGGATTAATGCTGTCAGCAGAGCAAGAACAGAACTCTGGGCTCTGTCCAATTCAACTATCTTTTCCTTTTTCTCATGGAAAAAAAAAAAGGGTGCTAGTATTTCTGCTTGCCTAAGGACAAAAACTTTCTGTTCAGATCTGTGCGGTGAGAGTGCTACACAAATCCCAGACTGGTACTGATAATAATGCTTGAAAACTTTTTTTCCTATATATAACATGAACATTAACTAATTTTTCAATGGATATTCTTCCCATGACCTGTGAATATTTGCCTAGTTGCTATCATTGTTTTGTGCAATATTAGAGTCATTTCAGGACCAAAAACCTCTCTATTACCTTTTGTCCTTTACGGTGGAAACACATTCAAGCCTGCTCAGTGCTTCTTTGATAGAGCTCACCAGTGCCTGAAGGTCAGACTCAAATATTTCTGTTTGATGCAGTGTGTTAATCAGTGGCAGCTAGTTTGTATCTGTGTGCATATCTTGGTGGATTTCTTTGATGTTAACCCCTGTTACCCTGACTCACTACCCCATTTTTTTTCAGGTACCAGTCCTGGACTTGTTCCCACCTGGGTGTGGCTGTTCAGTGCTTTTACCACCTTTTGTGCTTATGCATTAGGTAATGTAGAGTGAAATAATTTGCATGTCTGACATTTTCATGTAATTTTGTCTTCAAATTCACTAGTGATGATTCTGAGATAAAGAGGCATTGTGGATAAATTACTGATCTCTTTCCAAAACAGTTCTCTTAGATTAAAAAAAACCAAACTAACTAAAAAACCCCAAACCACAACACACAATAAAAATGTTTATCAGACTTAAACCCAAACTAGCATGTTAAGTAATATATTAGAGGCTCTATTACAGTAACTCTTATCCCTCTTGAATGTTCAAATTATTTTAGAGGAACAATGGAAATCATTATATACCAGCAGTCTGGTTCCAATGCCCCTGCCATGGACAGGGACACCTTCCACGAGGTCAGGTTGCCCAGAGCCCCATCCAATCTGGTCTTGAACACTTCCAGGGATGGAACATTCCCAGCTTCTCCAGGCAACCCAATCCAATGCCTCATCATCCTCACAGTAAAGATGTTCTTGTTAATACCTAATCTAAACCTACCTTCTTTCAGTGAACCCATTCCCCCTTGTCCTGTCCCTACATGCCCTTGACAAAAGTCTCTCTCCAGCTCTCCTGTAACCCCTTTAGGTACTGGAAAGCTGCTCTAAGGACTCCCTGGAGCTTTCTCTCCTTCAGGCTGAACAACTCTCTCAGCCTTCTTCATAGGAGAGTTACTGCTGTTTGGTTTCATAAAAATCTTTATCCCTTGATGATGATATTCTGAGAAGCTCAGACATCAGAATTAGCAGAGGGTGCTTTCAAAGAAAGAGGAAAAATAAAGGACAAAGCAGAAAAAAGGAAATTGTTAGGCACTTCAGTGCTTAAGGACTGTGTCAGGAGAGGTGGTGATGACAGATGTGATGACAGGCCTGAGTTTCTTATGGAAATAAGTGTATATTTTTTTCTTTCCTCTTGCTGTTTTTCTCCTATAACACCTATGTCTCAGTTTCATATTCTATTTTTACTACTTCATTCTGTGCCATGAGTGTATTTTTAGGTAGACTGCACCTTGCTGTGCGGTGGTGTGAAGACAGACCTGAAATTATGCTGACCTGGAAGTGAGATCCACATTTATGTGGCTTTTTTGCTTTCTCTTCCAAAGCTCTCTCATTCCAAACTAAACTTTCCACACAATGGTGCAACAGAATTAATTTTTGGGGGGACTAAAGGTAATATATTTAAAGGACTGCACAGTTCTGTGTAATAAGGGCCCAGGAAGTCTGGATACATTTAAAGAAGGAAATCTTATAGGCACAGGAGCAGGCTATCCCTAGGTGCCCAAGGATGAGCCATCAGGGAAGACTGGCCTGGCTGAACAGGGAGTTTTCACTGGACCTGGAGAGAAAAAAAAAAAGAGTTTATAAACTTGGGAAATAGGGGCAGACAACTTAAGAAGAGTTCAAGGATGTCATCAGGTCTTGTAGAGAGAAAACTGGATTGGTGAAAGCTCAGCTTGAACTCCATGCTGTCACTACTGTGAAAGATAATACAAAGTGTTTTTATAAATACATTAGCAACAAAAAGAGGGCCAAGGAAAATCTCCATCCTTTATTGGGTGCAAAGGGGAACATTGTAACCAAAGATGAGGAAAACGCTGAGGTACTCGATGCCTTCTTTGGCTCAGTCTTCAGCAGAAAGACCCAACACCCTCCAGGCAGGCGGCCTGAGCTGGTAGGGAGGGACAGGGAGCAGCCAGAGCCCTGCTGGGATCCAGGAGGGAGCAGCACAGAGCCCTGCTGTGATCCAGGAGGGAGCAGAACAGAGCCCTGCTGTGATCCAGGAGGGAGCAGCAGTGCCCTGCTGTGATCCAGGAGGGAGCAGCAGTGCCCTGCTGGGATCCAGGAGGGAGCAGAACAGAGCCCTGCTGGGATCCAGGAGGGAGCAGAACAGAGCCCTGATGGGATCCAGGAGGGAGCAGCAGTGCCCTGCTGTGATCCAGGAGGGAGCAGCAGTGCCCTGCTGGGATCCAGGAGGGAGCAGCAGTGCCCTGCTGGGATCCAGGAGGGAGGAGCAGTGCCCTGCTGGGATCCAGGAGGGAGCAGCAGTGTCCTGCTGTGATCCAGGAGGGAGCAGAACAGAGCCCTGCTGTGATCCAGGAGGGAGCAGAACAGAGCCCTGCTGGGATCCAGGAGGGAGCAGAACAGAGCCCTGCTGGGATCCAGGAGGGAGCAGAACAGAGCCCTGCTGGGATCCAGGAGGGAGCAGAACAGAGCCCTGCTGGGATCCAGGAGGGAGCAGCAGTGCCCTGCTGTGATCCAGGAGGGAGCAGCAGTGCCCTGCTGTGATCCAGGAGGGAGCAGCAGTGCCCTGCTGGGATCCAGGAGGGAGCAGCAGTGTCCTGCTGTGCCAGCTGACACTCACCAGTCTGTGGGGCCAGATGGGAGCCACACCAGGGTACTGAGGGAGCTGGTGGAAGAGCCAGGCTACTCTCCAGCATTTGTCACTAGTCCTGGTCACCCAGGGAACTGGAGAACTGGCCAGTGTGATGCCCACCTGCAAGAAGGGTTGGAAGGAGGATCTGGGGAACTACAGGCCTGTCAGCCTGACCTCAGTGTCTGGGAAGGTTATGGAACATCTTTAGTGTCCTTGTGCAGCACATGCAGGACAGACAGGGGATCAGGCATGTTAAATATCTTTATCAATAATTTGAACAAGGGGATTGAGTCCACCCTCAGTGAGTTTGCAGATGACACCAAGGTGGGTGGGAGTGTTGATCTGCTGGAGGGCAGGAAGGCTCTGCATGGGGATCTGGACAGGCTGGATCAATGGGCTGAGGCCAGTGGTGTGAGGTTCAACAAGGCCAGGTGCCAGGTCCTGCACCTGGGTCACAACAACCCCAGGCAGTGCCACAGGCTCGGGAGAAGAGTGGCTGGAAAGTGACCCAATGGAAAAAGAAGGGGTGGTGGTTGACCGTGGCTAACATTGAGCCATTGTGTGCCCAGGTGTCCTAAAACACCAATGGCACCCTGGTCTGTAACAGAAATAGTGTGGCCAGCAGGATCAGGGCAGTGATTGTCCCCTGTACTCAGCACTGGTGAGGCCTCAACTTGAATCCTGTGTTCAGTTCTGGGCCCCTCACTACAAGGACATTGAAGTGCTGGAACATGTACAGAGAATGGCAACAGAGCTGGGGAAGGGTCTGCAGCACAAATCTTATGAGGAGCAGCTGAAGGAGCTGGGGATGTTAAGTCTGGAGAAAAGGAGGCTCGGGGATGACCTTATTGCTCTCTACAACCACCTGTAGCAGGACGCTGTTGCAAGGTGAGGATTGGTTTCTTCTCCCAGACAACAATCAACAGGACAAAAGGAAGTAACCTCAAGCTGTGCCAGGAGAGGTTCATGTGTGACATCAGGAAGAAATTTTTCTCTGAAGGGGTGGTTAAGCCTTGGAATGGGCTGCCCAGGAAGGTAGTGGAATCGCCATCCCTGGAAAATGTTCAAGAAATTACTGGACATGGCACTTGGCATTATGATTTAGTTGACATGGTAGTATTCAGTCAGAGATTGAACTCAACGATCTTGGAGGTCTTTTCCAACCTTAATTGATTCCAAATGTACCCTCTCCTTGACGCTGTTTCTGGTAAGGCCATTACAGTGTAGCTGTATATTTGTGTGCCATATTTGAGATGCTCAGGCTATATACAGGTGTGTTATACATGCAGTGCTGTGCAGAGGGGCTGACCACTTTTGGAATCAGACCAATGCATGTAGAGCCATCTTGATTGGCCTGGGGTATCCCCTTGAGCAGATCTCTCCCCCTGCATTGTACATACCTTGGCATTTCTATTCAGTTGGTGAGATTGTGCCAAAATCGTTTTGTCCAGAGTTTCTTTGTGCCATAAAAAGCAATGGGACAACAATCCCTTGAAGGTGACTACTACTCAGATTTCTCTAGCAGCTCTCTGTACTCAGAAGGGTGGTTTCTTTTGTGAAAACCATTTTTTATGTCATTGTATGGAATTTATTGAAGTGACTATTGCTTCATAAATTGGAATTACATATTGGAACTGTTACTGTGGTAACAGTTGGCACCCCAGAAGGCTCATGGGAAGTTCAGCTTCTGAGATTTTTAATGTAGTTGGTTTTTTCCAGTGAAGCTTGTAGTTCCTAATACTTGGAAGGCAAGGAATATGATGTTGACAGTCAAAGCTATAATGAACTAATATATATGTAGATTTTTATGTCTGCTGTCCAAGCCACTTCATGAAATATTTAGTCGGAGATTTAATTTTGCATGGCCAAAGTTTTCCCTCTGGAAGACTGCAAAGAACCATAATAACTAACTAAATATGCAACTGTAATCTTTCTCAGCTTATTTTAATGACACAGTTACTCTCTCCAAATTCCCTAACATGCTGCTCTCCATCCCTCCTGCTTTTTTAAGGTGGCTTGGTATCATTTCCTTCCCATGAAATGGAGGGCTTTTTGCTGTTACTTTGAATTCCACTCTTTAAAAGTTATAGAAACTATATAAAATGGAGTATTTATGAATCTTTGTGAGACAAAATCATAAAATAAGAATTCTAAAGCAATGGAAGTGTGAAACAGTGTATGCTGACCAATGAACACACACCATTGTTGGCATGAATGATTTCAAACTGAAACCTAAACCAGAAAATATTTTCAGTCTTTTAAAAAGCCAATGAAACTACATGGAAAATGTGGTTAAGGATTTCTGAAAATCCGGTTTGATGTATGTGTCATATGGTTCCTGTATTTTTTTCCATTACCATTATAATTAGAAGTACTGTATTTTAGGACAATACTATAAGCTTTTTTTTACAAAAACCACTTTTCACTGTGAGGTAGATATTTTAGTATCTATATACTTGTGTGACAACGTCAAATTTATAAACAGACAAATGTTCTAACATTCTTATTTTTAAATAGTAACACCTGTGTACCTGAATCCTGTCTGATTTGAGATAGGTGTTCTTGGAACATAAACCACCACAAACTCTTTAGGATTGCTTATATCTTTATTTGCTGGTAAGGTTTCAGAGATGTCGTTCAATGGATGGAAGAATTTCTAATTTTATTGCAACACCTTTCACTTAACCTCAAGCTTATACAGTTTTCTTTCTGCACATTTCAGTAAGATGCTGAAAATTCAATGGAAATGTTAATAGAGAGAGAATGAGTCTCTAGAAGAAGGCAAGCTATATTTGAAATCCTCTATGAGATATTTAAGTTTTTGAGTTCTGAGAACTGTCTCAAGAGATTTGTGTTTGAGCAGAGGATATATCACAGCTGTTTAGATATTACAATAGAGATATAGTCTAAAATCTGTACAAAATGAAATCCCATCTTTTCCTGGTTTAGGTCCCTGAAGTATATTTACATTAAACAAAACTCACAGTACTGCCAAATAATTGAGAGAAGTAAGTAGCATATGATCTACAGCAGCTGTGGTGTCTTTGGTCTCACTCTGCTGAGTTGTGCTCCTCCTCAGTTTTGGGTTATTAATGCTAACAATAGCTAATAATTGTTAGCTATAGCACCTGCCAAATAATATCAAATAAAAAAGCACCTCCATTTTATTTTGAGATTCAAGACAAAACCAAGTAATCTGTCGGGTTTGTTCTGTGTACTTTTTCCTAAGAGGTTCATCCTGCATGTTTACATGTAACTTCAAGAGGAAAATAGTTCTATTTTTCACCTGCACAGTCTCAGAAAAGAGACTAAGAGTATGGTTTGACATTACAACTAAGAAATGTTACAGCTGCTAGACCACCTTTCTCCTCCCTGTGTTCACCATCCCTCCCTAGTGCCATCTCCCTTGCATTTTGTACCATTCACAGTACCAATTCAGTGACCCAGAAGAAAGCATAATGTTTGCTGTCTTTCCACCAGCTGAACAGGTTGCAGGTCACCCTGTTCAGCAGCAGTGATCTATCAGAGCAACTCAAACCATATTGTCCAACTACCTCCCCAGAGTAAGGTCCTGTACAGTGCTGTATCATTTTTTTAGCACTCAAGCACTAAAAGTGATCAACGTATAATGCGCCTTAACTAATGCATTCTTACAATCATATAATCATACATGTTGGAATAATCCTTTAAGGTCATCAAGTGCAGCCATTAACCCAGCAATGCCAAGTCTACCACTAAACCATGTCCCCAAGTCCCTCATCTGCACACCTTTTAAATACCTCCAGCGATGGTGACTCCACCACTTACCTGAACAGCCTGTTCCAATGCCTGATAACCATCTTTTTTTTTTTCTAATTTTTCCTAATGTCCAATGTAACCTCCCCTGGTGTGACCTGAGACCATTTCTTCTTGTACCTGGGAGAAGAGACCGACCCCCATCTCACTAAAACCTCCTTTCAGGTGGTTGTAGAGAGCAATAAGGTCACTCCTGAGCCTCCTTTTCTCCAGGCTAAACCACCCCAGCTCTCTCAGACACTCCTCATAAGACTTGTGCTCCAGACCCTTCACCAGCTATGTTGCCATTCTCTAGACACACCCCAGCACCTCAATGTCCTTCTTGTAGTGAAGGGCCCAAAACTGAACACAGGATTAAAGGTGTGACCCCACCAGTGCCAAGTACAGGGGGACAATCACTGCCCTGGTCCTGCTGGCCACACTACTTCTGGTGGAGGCCAGGATGCCATTGGCCTTTTTGGCCATCTGAACACACTCTTATATGAAAACTGAAAAACACTTCAAAATATGTGTAAGCACAAATGCAAATAAATTTTGTGAAGTTTGCTCCCTCCTTTAAGCTGCCATGTAACTGTTAGTCATTGAGGTATTGAGCATCAAGGAACTTAAAAGCCTTAGTGAATCCATCCCACAAGAGGTCTGAAGGCTCAGAGGGTCCACAACACCAATGGATGGGCAAGAAGCTCTATGGACACTTTTCAGCACTTGAAACTAATTGCAGGGACTGATGTAAAAGTGTTTCAAGACCACTGGGGGCAAGTAATTAATTATGAGTGTCTTTCTAAAACTCATGAGAAAGGTGGCATTTAGTTTCAGAGCTGAGGTAAGGACAGAAAAGTTACTTGCTATCTTGAGCAATTATTTTATGAGCAGTTTTAACCTGATGGTATTGAGGGGGCTGTTGTGCTTCAGTTTGCTGTCATCAGTGTAATTTTCCTGTATGTTATATATGGCAGTAGTGAATTGTATGTGGAGAAAGCTACTGCTTTTGTTGTGCTCTAATTCTTTGTTTATTTTCCTTTCTCAATCCTTCTAGACTCCATAGATGGGAAACATGCTCGAAGGACTCAGTCCAGTACTCCCCTGGGAGAACTATTTGACCATGGGCTGGATAGCTGGGCTACCTCCATTTTTGTGCTTTCCTTTTTTTCTGTCTGTTCCCGTGACAATGGGAAGACTGGAGTTTCTGTATATACAATGTATATATATTTAAGCATTGTCTTGTTTAACTTCATGTGTTCACACTGGGAGAAATATAACACAGGAGTTCTTTTTCTTCCTTGGGGATATGATATAAGCCAAGTGGTAAGTATTTATCATCCCTGTTTTGGTTTTGGTTTTTTAACTATGTAATTGTTTTCATAATATTAAAGCAATAGAAAAATAGAGTTCAAAGCGAATATATTTGGCTGAGATATTGAAATATGTGAAATTGCAAAACCCTAGAAGTAATTCAGAAATATTTTCTGCATTTGCAATAAAGGGCTGTTCTTGAGCAAATTGTCAGCATCAGTGATTCATTGCTGTGCAGGAGAAAAAGGCTTGCAGCAAGCCTAGCAGCCAGACAGTGCCCATGAGAATGTCATTTAACTGCATTTGATTTGTGATATTAACAAAAATTACTATGCTGTCTGAAGCCACAAGCTATTTTCCCCCCAATACCAGATTGTGAGGCACGATGTGAATTAGTCCAGGTAGTATCTATTAACAGTAATTACACAGTTATACACTACCAGACCTTCTCAATTCTACTCCATTCTATAACAAATGTGGTAATGGAAATGCAGAGAGAGGTAGCTGTTGTCAAGTGACTTCTGCCTTTGAAAAACAAGTCAGTCGTCATGGATGTCAAAAAGTCATAGACATTCAGCAAGGTCAAGTACTTATCAGCCCACAGTCAGCATCAGCTGAGTTCTTGTCTGGTTTTCAGCCCTGTGGACATCTTCAGAAAGCATGCCCAGGGCACCTAAGTGAATGGTGTCCTCAGTGCACAGATGAGTAGCAGTATTAACAAGCTTAGTGCACTCCCAAAGGCCCAGCACTTCCGTGGGCTGGCTTATCTGTGTCTCAGACAGCTAAGGTCTTGCAGCCTGAAGAGCACAGTCAGTCTTCTGAGCTTCCTGTTACAGGCACGAGATGAAAGGTACAGCCAAATTATTGAAAATAAGTTTGACAAATACTCAAATATGTGTTTTAATGGAAATACAGTATTCAAATTAATGGCTGCAGATGTAATGCTGTAAACATAATCACAATCCAGTGGTTTGAGAACAACTCAGAGATGGTGGTCCAGCTGTGGTGCATCTGTGTTGTCCCCTAGAAAATAGGTTTTGGAAGAAGAAGTTGGCTCAGGACTAAGACATTAGGCAGCCAGCTGGTCTGCAAGTTTCAGCCATGTCTGTGTAAGGCTTCTCCCTGAAGTTCTTCCAGCAGGAGAGGAGTAGCTGTGTTCAAGCCTATTTCACTGGTTGCTCAGATGATCACTGTACATGTAAATGTTCAGAAAGCTCTGCTGGATCACTGCAGCATCCAAACTGTGTTAGTGGTTAAATCTGGGAATGGGTATCAACTAGCAGAGCAGTATGATAACTCTGTCAGTGCCTGTTAGTGACCTGTGCCTGTGGCCCTGTTTTTAATATTTCCCTGCCTGACAGATTTGTGGTGAGGCTGAATATCAGTAAAGTTTGTAAACTGCTTTGATTAACTGGGATGCAAGGTGCTAACAAGTGCTATTTCCTGTTCCCCTCTGATGCTGAACTGCTGTCCTGCTCACTTGCTTTTTAGTGCTTTCTGTGATGACTTGGTTACAGTCAAAGTGATAAGCTTGTGAACGTGAGGATTTTTTAATGCTCTTTAGCAAAGTCATCAGCAGTGGTAGAAGATTGTACTATAAAAATCTCTGTATGTCAGTTTTCTCATCTGTAAAAAAATAGCTGTTGTGGTTGTCTATGAACTAAGAGAAAGCAGGCTTTGTAGCTCAAGGTGGTATTTTTCCATTAGTCCAAAATACACTACATACACACCAGAAAGTACATAATATTTTTTTCCCCAATTCTACTGACTAGTCTAGTAAAAGATCTTAATTCCCATAAATATCTGTTCTTGTTTTGTAAACTCATTCATCAAATTTATATGATATGTGTTCTATTAAAGGTAGCTCTTCGTCTCCAGTAACTTAGAGGATACTGGGGACATTAGTAAATGGTGATGATGAGTAAGAAAAGTTATGTTTCCCTTGCTGGTTTTTTTTCCCCATTGCTTCTCTGCCAGGTATTCCCACAGTCACATTTAGAAGCAGAGAGTGTAAAAGCACTCACTAGCTGCTTCCAGACTGATTTGCAATGTTTAGTTCAGAATTTCCTCCATGGCATTCCTAGCTGGATTGCTGCAGGAATGTGCTTCTCTGTCCTGTCTTCAGTAATTTCACCTACAACTTAATGCTGTTGCACTGGCATATCAGACACTCAGGTGGTCTAGTCCCCCTGCTTTTGCTTTTAAACTTGTTGGCAGCCAGGAACTTTGGGCTTTGTTATCACCACAGAACTCAAGAAAACCAGTAGTTAGTGCCAACGTGCAAATAGAGGACTGATGACCTTAATGAGCTCTTAACTGGCATGTGGCTCCAAAGACGCTGCTGCTGAGTCAGCTCTGCTGCACACAGACACAGCCCTCTCCCGGGCTCTGCCTCAGCTGTGCTGGAGAAAGAGCTGCTGTTCCTCATGAAAAATACCTTCTTATAGACAGGGAAATCTGTGGGAATTATGCACATCACGTTTTTCTGTGACTTGATGACTCATCAGAACTGGTAACCCAATTAAGCTAGCTGGGCTGTAATTGGCACTCCAATTAGCTTTGATTACAGCAGACAATCATTTGCAGGAAGCTGTGGTTTGTAAACTTGAAAAATGGCTGTAATGTGTCTGAGAGATGCTTGGTCAGAGGACCATTATGTTTGTGGATCCAGAATCAAGGTGGCAGCAAATGCAGCAGGAAATGCTATTCCTGTCTCTCCTCCCTCCTGCATAAGGATCTGTCCTGTGCTGATTCCTGAGTAGCAGAAAAAGGTGCAGGGAGAGCAGCCTCTGTATCAGAGCATCTAGACAATTTTCATACACTTTTGAGTAAGCACACCTATTGGAAACCCCAAAAGTCTGAGGAAAAAACAAAAAACTAAATCTCTGCTATGATCTGTGAGAAATTCCCTTGGATACATCTTGTGAAAATGAAGACATTTATTTTTGTCACAAGACGAACCAAAGAAAGCTAATATCTGCAAATTAAGTTTCTTGGAGAAAAAAAAAATGACAGAGCCTTCCTGAGAAATTAAAATTTCTGACTTCTTGCCATATGTTAATTTTCACAGACATCGTCTTGTTTTGTTTAAAAAAAGATCTGTTTTCTTTCTGGAGAATTTAATATTACCCTAATGAAATACTTGCCTAATCCTGCTGTTGCTTTTCATAAGCCACTGCAGTTGAGTTCATAGCAGGGGAACAAATTTTTCCATAATATGATGTAATGATACCTCTGCTCCATCGGTGCTGCCTTAAGTGTAACAGGAGATACCCTTTTTATTCTTAATTAAAACTTTAAAAGTGAAGAGCTGTGTGAGAGCTGTGGTGACCCTGACAATTCCACTCTCCTTCCTCTCCCTCTCCCCAGCCAAGAGAAGCAGGCTCAGAAGAAGCGCAAGCAGCAAAATCCCAAAGGCAACAGGCAGCTGTCTCTGGCCCAGCCCTTGCCCTGCAAGGAGAGGATGTTCAGAAATCCCACACATAGAGAGAGTTGTGCCTGAAGGGATGGGTGCCTGGACCTTGGGCCCCAGGGTTTCAGTCTAAGATGCTTTCCCAGCTGCTTCTGCCTGATGGCTTTGGACAGTACCACTGAGAGCCTCTGGGAGAACCCTCTGCCTGCCTTGGAACTCTGAATAAATGGAAGTACACGATGCCCCTAGCAACTGAAACATTGTAGGACTTCCTCTTCTCCTTCCTTTCAGTCAAACTGGGAAAGGTTTCTTTCATGGGTACCGTAGACCAGGTTTTCTTTTGACAAGGTTATTTACAAAACCCATGCTGAAATATGTTCAATATGACCTTTTCTAGGGATGTGCTGTGGCAGCAAATGTTTCAGGAGCTGGCAGAGAAATCCCAAACAATGCAAGTGCACATCACTTCTTGAAAAAATTTCTACCTCCTCTGAGGGGCAAAACCCCTTTTCTGTTAAAAAGCAAAATAAAGGTGCAAATATGTTTTTCTTTGGTCACATTAACAGGATTCTCAATTTAATTTCAGTTGAAAGGATATTCACTTTCAGAGCTTTTCTAATTTAAGTGTCTGTGGAAAGCATAGCCTTTCTTGTGAAGAAAAACTATTATTACTTAGTTCCAAAGTTGTAGCACAATGGAATTGTTGAAGTAAGAGAAGTGATAGCAGTGAGGAAGCAGTGCTGGCCAGACCATGGTGTTTGCTTCAAGCTGCCTCCAGACAGGGCTGGAAACTGATCTCAATTCTCAGTTATCTGAGGGAAGCCCCATGGTGTATCCATGGGAAATCTGAACAGAAGAACCTGCTGTGCACAGGCTTTTTCTGCAGCAGACTGCTTCATTCTCAACCATGAGTCCCCACAAACCTATCTTGATTAATTAATCTTCCACATGCCTTTAGTTATTTTGTCTGTAAAGTCTAAATTTAAAATCATCTTTTTAGGTAAAATTTTTCGAAGTATAAGATTTGCAACCTTCAATTATTTATTGAAAGAAAAAAAAACCTGAGGAAAAAATAAAGTGGAAAAATTGCACATCACATTAAAGCTAACTCCTATTGAAATAACTTGTAGGAAATAATTCTTACTCTTTTAGGCAAGTGTCACATTTATTATCAGAAGAATGAAGTAGCCTTGTATTTTAAATGGCTTTGCTTCCTAGATGTTTATTTTGAGCATTGTGTTTATGGAAAATATTTCAACACATGAGCAATTAATACTATAGCTAATATGCTAATGAAATTGAATATTACAATAAAATTCATGTCAGGTTTCTGTGGAATCATAAAGAATTTTATAGCATATCCATGATTTTTTAGAAGATGACAAAGTATTTAATTTTTTATTTCATCATGTAGAATATCACACAGCATACTAAATATGCCTGTGTTTAAAACTGAAATGGTAAATCTATGGTAAGAAAATAAATGTATGTTCACACACAATCTAAAATATTGTGGTCACAAAACTTATACCTGAAATAGTGAAAAGACATGAAAGTGATGGTGATTTAAAAATATCAAAAATTTTAGAGAACAGGTAAGAGGTAGAAGGCAGAAGACTTTGAGGGGTTATACTGCCTTATGTTTATATAGAGTTTTCCCAATGCCACATCAAAGAATTATTCTGATTTTACACAGGAACAAATGTGGCTATGTTGCTGGTATTTACAAAATTGTGTCAAGATAGGGAGGCCCTGCTCAGAATCCAGCTGTCCTGCTGTCAGCTCTATCAGAGAAACTACAAATTAACACCTTGTATTTTCACATCTTTCTCATCATAAGTATTCCTCATCCTCATAGAGAAGGTCTTGGAAAGCCAAAAATATTCCTGGTCAGATGCTGCTGAGAGTTGGAATCCAAGATTGCACCCATCTACATTGCCTTGCTATACAGTTCTCACTTGTGTTATTGTGGTGGATGGATGCCAGGCACCCACCAAATCTGCTCTGTCACTCCCCTCTGCAACTGGACAGGGAGAGAAAATATAAAGAAAGGCTCATGAGTTGATAGAAGGACAGGGAGAGGTCACTCACAAATTGCTATCATGGGCAAAACAGACTCAGCTCAGGGATATTAATTTAATTTCTTATGAATCAAAATCAAAGCAGGATAATGAGAAGTAAGACAAATCCTAAAAACACCTTTCCCCTACCTCTCCCTTCTTCCTGGGTTCTATCTCCACTCCCCCACTGGCACAGGGAAACAGGGAATGGGGGTTATGGTCAGTTCATTACAGGTTGTTTCTGCTACTGCTCAGGGAGAGGAGTCCTGCCCCTGCTCCAGAGTGGGTTCCTCCCATGGGAGACAATTCTCTGTGAACTCCTCCAATATGAGTCCATCCCATGGGCTACAGTTCTTCATGAACTCCTGCACCATGGGTACCTTTCCATGGGGTGCAGTCATTCAGGCACAACCTTCTTCAGTCCTGTGGGTTCCCCCCCAGGATCACAAGTCCTGCCAGGAGCCTGCTCCAGCAAGGGCTCCTCTCTCCATGGGTCTGCAGATCCCTGCCAGGAGCCTGCTCCAGCAAGGGCTCCTCTCTCCATGGGTCTGCAGATCCCTGCCAGGAGCCTGCTCCAGCAAGGGCTCCTCTCTCCATGGGTCTGCAGATCCCTGCCAGGAGCCTGCTCCAGCAAGGGCCTCCTGCAGGTTCACAGCTTCCTCTCAGGCACCCACCTGCTCTGATGTGGGGGCTTACAGGTGGATCTCTGCACCCCCCTGGATGTCCATGGGCTGCAGGGGCACAGCTGCTTCACCATGGGCTGCACCACGGGCTGCAGGGGAATCTCAGCTCTGGTGCCTGGAGCACCTCCTGTTCCTTCTCCACTGACCTTGTTGTGTGCAGGGCTGTTCCTCTCCCATATCCTCACTCCTTTCTTCTCTGGCAGCAATTACAACTGTACAATATGGGTTTTTTTCCCTTTTAAAATATGTTAACCCAGAGGCATTGTCACCATTTCTGGTTGGTGCAGCCTTGGCCAGTGGTGGGTCCATCCTGGAGCCATCTGCCATTGGCTCTGCTGGACATGGGAAAAGCTTCTAGCAGCTTCTCACAGAAGCCACCCTTGTAGCCTCCCCTGCTACCAAAAACTGACCACACAAACCAAATACAGTTATTTAACTTGGACTTCTCATTTTACAAAAGGCTGCAATTATTTTTACTTGCTAGAGACTACATTTATATCTGAAAAGTACTAAAGCTGGTTTATGGCAGACAGATAAGTAAAAAACTTGGCCATCTTTTCTAAAGTAAAATTATTCAGTTGAACTCAGGAACATTGCTTTACTTTTTTTTTTTTCCCCACCAGTTTAAAACACATTATACAGCTGATTAACAGACTTAGGCTTTGCTAGTAATTTTGACAATCTTCAATTTTTTGCTAGTAGAGCTTAGATCAAGGGACACAGCCATTTTCCATCCTTCAGGCTTTCTAAAGGAGGTCTGCTTTCTAAAGCTGGAGACTGCTTCAGTGTAGTCAAAGTGATGAGTCCTTAAAAAACAATATACCAAAATTTTGAAGCCAAGGAGTGTTTTTTTTTCATATGCTACATCTGTTAAGAGGCAATCTCAATCTGGGAGTTTTGCATCACCAAATCCCAGGGCAGGGCATTCCCTATGAGAGCCCCTTGCATCCACACCCCTGTTCCTAGACATGCATTGACATCTGACAGTGATGCTCACGACTGCCCTGCCAAAAGTACTGACTGTAATAATGGTTAATACTAAAGTTCCTCTTTTATAATTTGCCAAAAAAGTCTTTTCAGGATTCAACGTGTGAGAGTAAATTCAAGCTCCATCAAAGCCAGTTGGAGTTTTGCCATCAACTTTGATGGGGTCAGGATTCCATCCATCATGTCTTATGTGTAATTGAATACAATTTCTTCAGGAAGCCAAATGTTAGCTCTGATGCAGTGGATTGCAAAACCCATTATATGTGTCCTTAACTGAGACCAAAATTTGACTCACTGTCTTCCGTGGCCCAAGACATAATGGCACTCACTGGTGCCTGCTCCTCCTTGCTGCAGATCTGCTGTGCTGCTTGTTCTTGCAGAGGCAATTCAAACATCCAGTTCCACAGTGCAAATCCAAGCAAAACCTCATAAAGACCTATATACTGACAGGGCAAGAATCTTGGTTTCAGATACAGAGAAGTAAGTGGAAACAAGTGTAGTATTATCTACATATAATAGAAGTTTAAATCACATCAGCATTCTGCTCTTAATCTGTGATCTTAAAAAGCCTGGTAATTTATAAAGAGATTTTCAGTGTATCATCTTTGAGTTAAAATTTAATAGAAGACCAGAAATGTGCTTGTTGAAGTTCAAATAGAGAAAACACATAACATAGAAAAAGAAGTGTATTAAAAAAACCTAGTTAAGAAATAATAAAATCTGTAACACAAGTAAAGCTGGGCAGCATTTTTTCATCCCAGAGTAAGAAGCTGCATTGAGTGGCAAATATAAAGGTTACTGAATGTTACCTGGGAATAAATAGATGAATATGCAGTTTTCTAAATGGCATTGTAATTAACATTGTTATTTTCATTTAGAGCTAGTGTAGCATGAAACATGCAGCACCTTATGGGTCCTATGGCAAAACCAAACAGCTGAGAACAAAACAGGCCAGAGAAAGAGAAGGGCAGCAGTCCCTCTAGCTGGGTGCTCCTGAATCTTTGGATGTGTCCTTTCACCCCTAATGACATCTACATCTATGTGATTCTTTTTTTGTCCTGCAATAATGTTATCTGTCAAACAAATTTAAAATCAGGGAAGACTTCATCTCCTTCCCAATATTTTTATTTCTTCACTTTCAATGGAATGTTTTATTATTTTTTTATTATTGTTTCAGGTGGGCTTAGGGTTTTTCTGCCCCCTTATCAGTTATTCTGATATGATCAGTCCAAGGGCAGAGCTGCAAAAATAACCACATGGCTAATTCTGAAGTCTGTGTCCAAAAACAGGGAAGTGCATGTGTAGTGGGGAGACCTGGCAATAAAAGTGGATTTAGGTATTTTGAAAAGGTAAGTCAGTAATACCATATACAAACAGATACAAACACAGGGAAGTTGCTTGCTTACCATATTTCATACATTTTAAATAATTCTCTTGGTGACCCTGCAACTTGCTTCACTACTTAGAAGTAATTGTTTTGCCATGGCAGCAGAAGGTAAAGTAGGGACAGGAGGAGGTAACTAATAGATTTTTTTTTTAACTTTTGCATTTGTATGAAGATGATAAGTGAAATTCTCTGCCTTTAGATGTAAAGGATTGAAAATCAGTTATCTTTTTTTCTGTAGGTGTTAATAGCAGCATATCTGCTCACTGGTACTGTTGGTGTGGAGGTCTGGCAGAAGCCTTTGCTGTTTGGTTATTATATTACAGATGTATTAGTTATCCTGCTTATAGGTAAGTGTCCGAATCTATACAAAAGTGTGCTGCTTTTTAATAATTTTGATTTGATATTTTTTATACTTCCCTCTTTTTTTTTGTTTTACTTTTGTAAGTGTTGGCTAGTCCAAAAATACATGAATAGAAATAATTAAAAGGGTTAATACTGGAAAACTTTTAAAAAGTAGATATTTTTGGAAAATTTGTTCCTTGCTGAATTAGTGTATGCTGCACACAAATAATATAGAAAATACTCCTTATCTGCATGTGCAGTTCAGTGCAGTGTGCTGGCTTGCTGGGCTCCCAAAGTCTCAGGAACTCCTCATGTCACTCAGGTAAAATGTCACTTACATTTATTTATGCATAGTCTAAGTTTAATGTTTTGGCCTGGAGCACATTATGTTCCAAAACATTATGTACAGAGGGAATGAAGACATTATTTAAATAACCTTAGATGCATAACTGTAAATATGAATAATAGCCAGGTGGTTTCTAAGCTCTTTTTTAGAAATCTTTTGCAAAACAGAAGAGATTTATTTTTCATACACAGCAATAGCCTATTTGGTCATTATTTGATACTGTCAGTGTAGTTTGAAATGAGCATTGATGTTTTTTGACTGCCATATCAAGACAGAACAAGAGCAGTTACATTTTAATGAGTTAGAAATATAGAAGTCTTAGCTGAAAATCTGTGTATGCAAAATGCCTTTGATGTGTTGCTTGGAAGGTGAAGAAATTAGCATATGCATTTTGGAGATCTTTATATGAGCGTACAAGTGGTGAGAAGAGGGCACCACAATACAGCTTGACACAAACACTCTAAACTAGCATCCCAAGAAACATCTTCTGCCCTTGGGCCAAATGGAGGACTTGGTTATAGGTGCTTCCCCCATGTCACCCATGTGAGCACTTTGCACTGATGTGTGCTCTCACCACCCTCTCCCTATAGCAAGGTTGTCAGCAGGTACCACCTCTTGCCCCAGCACTCTTTCCCAGAATTCCTAGGTTAGAAAGGACCCTGTGTTCAGGCTGTGCTTTCTAATGAGCAGTGTCTGCAAGGACATGGTTTTGTGCTTTACCCAAAAAAAAACCCAACAGTGTGTGACCAAGATGATACAGTCTTTTCTAGTCAGACCTGATTTAGGCACTCTGAGGAAAAAAAAACAAAGGAAGGAGGGAAAGACAGTGGTTGCCTTTTCCATAGTCAGTGAATTATTCACCTTTGACAGAGGTGCTGCTGTAGACAGGGAGTGATTTGTGCTCTTGAAGCAGCACTGCAAGCCTAGGGCAGATGGATGCTGGCTCACCCAGAATGGGCAGGTCAGGGCAGGTGTGCTTGGTTCCTGTCACTAGGATACATGACAGCCCCTTCAGGGATTACTCTGATGGCTTCCCTTGCACTTGGGAAGCCACGGATGAAGGTTTAATTCAAACTGTTCAACATAGTAGGAACATTTGTGGAAGGGAAGCATCTCAGTGTTATCAGATCTGCAGGTGTGAGCATCCTTTTTCATACTCTGCCAGAACCAGCTGCAAAGCAAGGTTTGATGGACTGTTCCATTAACACTAGAATGAAGTACTGCTTCTGTCTTCTGTGGTATGCTTGTATGAGTGGATTTGTGAGCACAGAAAAGTATTTCTTCCATCATTGTCCCAAGCAGAGTAGGCTTAAGTAGGAGCCAAAAGGTTTCTCCAAAAACCTCATCTCTAGCACACTGTGCACAGTGGCATCCTTTGCAATTTTGTTGAAGTTAAATATGGGTTTTAAAGTATGCAAAATAATAGTCTTGGTTGACTCTATATTACAGAATCATCATAGTGCTTAGTAAATCTCTTAGAATCAGACACTAAATTTAAAAATAGAAAAAGTAGTATCCTTCCACTAAGGGTCATGCTGGTCCAGAAAGCACTGCCATTTCATATTTGAATTTCAGTTCAGCAGTAAGGTGGTTATCATTGGGTAGCCTGTATGCAATGACTAGGGATATGTGAAATTTTTAGAAGCTTGTGGTAAATTGCAGGACCCCACTGTGACTGCAGAAAAAGTACCTGTCTAACCTACACCAAGGGCCAAGCAGCCAGGAAGATTCAATTATTCTCTCCCTTAGAGAGGCTGCAGCAAGAGTGTCTTGCTCAGCCAGAACCATTTGTATCAGAGAGCCCCCTCTGGCTTGCTCAGTTAAATGCCTTTGTGGCTAGTTAAAAACAAAGTGGGCCTCTGATGCTTTTTACAAGCTGGTTTCCCAGGATCCTGAGAGGAGCCATTAAACCATGAATGGCTGTGCTTAACCATCTGATGGCATTTAGTAGTCACCAGTGGTCCTTCTAACAACGAACCTGTAGCTGCTCCATCAATACTTGGCATTTGTTGGGGGCTTTTACTGTTCTGTACACAACAGGAGTTTAGCTGCTGAGCCGTCGCTTCTCCGAGAGCAGCTGGGCTTTAGCCCCTACCTTCTGTGGTGGGAACAAATCCAAACAAGATGCACAAGAGTGTTTTTCAGATGTCTTTCCTGGAGTTTTCTGGGAAAAAAGAAAAAACACCCTCATGTATAACCTAGGGATGAACTCTGCAAAAGCACCTCTTCAGAGGAAGCTGTAGTACCACCAGGTGACACTCACTCATTGAAAGCTTTTATCAGGTGCCAGAACACACAAAGATATACATAAAAGTGCAGCAATACTGGTGTTTAGATTAGATGTTTTAGGAAAGAGAGCTTTATGTATGTTCCTGGGAACTCTCTGGCACACTGAACACCTGTAGGAAAGCCAAGTCCTGAGCTGCTGAGCAGTGACCTCAGAGGACTACCCTGTGAAATAGAGAAACTTCTGCATAGTATTTTATGGGAATTTGTCAGCTACCCGGCAAACATGATCCTGTAATTTTCACTGGCAGTGAATGCAATTCCATCCTTCAGCTCCAAAACACACACCTAGCTGGACCCTGAATCAATGAGGAAGGTCCCTCTCCTGTTTCCAGAGCAGCTGCCCTGGCTGCTAGGCAGAAATGCCTTTTCTCTCCCAGCAGGGGAGCAGACAGACCCTGTTAAAGTTGTGTGCCTGTGTGCTCATCTGGAACTAATTACTCTGCACTCATCAGGGCTCCTGTGGATGACACTCCAAAAGCTCTCTTGGGATTTAACCACAATTCTCCCATAGCATTATCTGGCTAACTAGGGTCCCTTCAAAGGCAGCATTGGGGTGAGAGCTATCATTTATTTTCACCCCTCCAGGGCATCCCAAATGCCTAACATTCCCTGTCACTGCGCTATCAGGTTGAGAGCAATATGAAATATTTACAATGAGCATTTTAAAGCAGTCAGTTCTGCACATAAATTCTAGTACCACAAATGATGCTGTGGACTTTGTGAGAAGATTTTCACTGACAGGTAGGCATCTGTAGTTCAGGGAGCAGCATTACTAATTGATGATGGTTTCTGCCTCACGTTGCTATTAAATGACCTCTAGGTGTGTGCTCTGCATGAAGCATTTCTCATGTTTGGGACCTTCATACTTGCTCTGTATGAAGATTTTATAATGTCTAATAAAATTTGAGTTCAGGCTGCAATCCTTTCCTGGAGAAAGGAAGATGGAGACATGCATCTTACTGGAAATTTCTTTTGGTATATTCTTTTGTTCAGAATTGACTGAAAGCTTGGAAACTGTGGTGGGATGTACACATACAAGCAGAGTTAGCACATCAGCTTCATTTCCTTAGGAAGGCAAGTTGGAAAAATGATGCCTGGATGCACAGTTTCCTGCTCCTTCTCAGTATTAATTGCAACCACAAGAATAGACTTAATAGGAAAAGGATCACTTAAGCATGGAGTGGATATGTTATACTTCATCAGTGTGTGCACATGGGGCAGACTATTCTGTAATCCAGAGATGGTGTCATGTTTGAGTGTACTATGTGTGGTCAACAATGCCCAGATCTGATACTGAAGCCTGTGGCAAAGATGAAACTAGTTCTCAAAGTGCAGGTTTGAACATGAAATGTGAATTGGATATTAATATCTGTCAGAGATCTGAAACTTTGTTTTAGAGATGAGGACAAAGTGTTCAGAATTTTTTCCTATGATGTCCATGGGTTTGGTTTCTATGCTGACTTATACAGAGTGTTTTCCTTGAGGGTCACTCTTCACTGAGCTACTTAAGTATATAAAATGAGGAATGAAAACATAAATGAACAGATAATAGCAGCCAAACAGTAACCATGAGGCCAAGGTGTAACATTTAAAACATGCCAATTATTTGAATTCCATCATAGTGGGAAAGCACAGCACAGTTACTCCTCTAAACCAGTGCCTTGTACTTACACTGTACCACATCCTGGCTATCAAAGGAGGACTCACAAGTCCTTGCCATGGGTGTTCATACAGTAGCCTGCCCCTTTTTCAGTGTCAGAAACTGTTTAGGAGGCCACAGTCAATCACAGTCACAAGCAATATGAATTGTTTCTGCCCCCTATGGAATGTTGTCATTCTGTAGTGATTTCCTGTAGTTCCCCTTGCAAAGTGGCTGATGGCTCTGCCCTAGTGATGACTTGCTAAATGATTAAATGTTAAGTGCAATGTTTTCAAAAGGTTATTGCTCCAACAGGCTTTGACCAGTCCTGTTTGAGAAGTGTGCTTGAGTTGGCTTCTATACGTCTGTCACCAATTCAACATTTATTAAGGCATTGTTGTGACAGATTGTACGAGGCTCTGTTAAAGCAAAGGGTGTGAAATACTCACCTGTCACTTGAGATATATTTTTAAGAAGTCACTGAGTTCATGTTCAGAGTAACTCATCTGAACCAGTCAGAACAATAACCCAGAAGAGCAGAGTGCTCAAGGCCAGAGGCAGAGCAGTGTCACAGGATGCTGACTACAGGTGGGAATGAGTTTGGTGGTGTTAAGGTGTGAGGAGTCATTTCAGGGGCTCTGGGACCCCCAGGAGAAGGTCAAACAAGGGAGCTTTCCTGGAGAGTCTTTCTGGAAGCCAGTCCAGGCTTTTTGAATAAAGGCACTGTTTCT